CCGATGCAGGGGACACGGGTTCGTGCCCCGGTCCCGGAAGATTCCACATGCCGCGGAGCAGCTGGGCCCGTGAGCCGTGGCCGCTGAGCCTGCGCGTCCGGGCCCTGTGCTCCACAACGGGAGAGGCCACAACAGTGAGATGCCCGCGTACCGCAAAAAAAAAAAAAAAAAGTTTATTTGAAAATACTGGAAAAAAATAAACATTCTCCAACTTTCTCCTTCTGAAACATTAAGTATTAAGTAAAGGTGCCTCTTAATCCTCTTCCCTTTCCAAGCTCCCCTACACAACAGACCCAATTAGTCCCCTACTTCTTTCCAGCTCACATCTCTAGATTCTTTTTCACTTAGATATTTATCTACTTGGAACCCAATTTATATGGTATGAGGTAGAAAGCTATTTTTGCTTTTTCCAACTGGGTAATCAATAGTCCAAAGCTTGTTTTAAAATAATCTATTATTTCCCTATTATTAAAAAATACCAGATCACTGGGGCTTCCTTGGTGGTGCAGTGGTTGGGAATCCGCCTGCCAATGCAGGGTTCACGGGTTCAGGCCCTGGTCCGGGAAGATCCCACATGCCGCAGAGCAACTAAGCCCGTGAGCCACAACTACTGAGCCTGCACTCTACAGCCCACACACCACAACTACTGAAGCCCGTGCGCCTAGAGCCCATGCTCCGCAACAAGAGAAGCCACTGCAGTGAGAAGCCCGCGCACTGCAACGAAGAGTAGCCCCTGCTCGCCACAATCAGAGAAAAACCTGTGCGCAGCAACGAAGACCCAACACAGCCAAAAACAATTAAAAAAAAAAAAAAACAGATCACATTTTAATATCAGCGTACACTTGGATCATCTTCTGGAGGATTTCTGTGTTTTACAAGTTTCACTATTCTTACACCTTTATTCTACTATGTCAGTATCTTTGTAATAAGTGATAAAATCTACTATGCTAAATGTCTCTTCACCATTGTTTTAAAAAATATTTTTCAATTATCTCATATTTATTCTTCCCATTAGAATTTAAAATCAACTTATCTAGTCCACCCCGACATTTTACAACAAAGAACAAAGAATAAAATGTTATCATAATTCTGGTTGGAATTGAGGTCAATTTATATACATCCTTTTAGGAAAGGTTAGCATCTTTATGATCTTGAGTTTTTCCTTTACAAATATGGTATATATCTGTTTATTCAGGTTTTATTTTATGCCCTTTAGTAAAATATTATACTCTTCATATAGTCTTTGTAATTTAATAAAGGATTTTGTACTCTTTACTTACTCTTTCATATTTTACTACCTTCATGGATCTTGAAATATAGGCAACTCCTAAAATACCTTATAACTCTGCTCATTTTCTTGGAATAAGGTAAAACAGAGGAAAAACTATCAGAAAGGAATTGAGTGGGCATCACTTTTGTCTACAATAGGTGCAAAGGGTATTTGACAGCTCCAAGTAATAATACCTTTGAATTTTCAGTTAAAAAACCCTTTCTAAACATGATTTTCATCCAGGTCTTCCCCCATTGTGTTGGGGGTTATGAGCTGCTGTGAATGAACAGTTGCCCACCGTGGCCTCCTCTTACTTTCATTGTCAGGGCAGAGGCAATGATTGCTCACAGGACTTAGGCCGGAACCAAGTGGATCTGGAGTGGACATGGGGATACTCAGGCTCTATACTGTCTGGGTCCTAGCAGTTGGACAGCTCATCTGTATTCAGGGGAGCACTCAGCTGCTTCTGGCAATTTCTTTTTCCTCTGATCCATGTTGAGTGACATAACATTACAGTACAGCATCCCAAGACGGCATCTTTCAACTTATCAGAGAACTAGACTTAGTTTTTAAGGTTTAGTTTAAATAAGGAATCTATTATTTCAGAGAGACAGAATGCTACAAATTTCTTCTTTCATCCCACGAAAAATAATAAGTCATCACAGGACTTATTTTCTCATTTGACACTGCCTTTTTAAAAATCATGTGGCCCAATGGTAAAAGCGGTTTAGGAGAAAAGAAGAACTTTGTTCGCATTGCTCAGTATATTTGTGTTGGCATATTTGCATTTTCAGTTACTGAAGCATTTCCTCCTTTCAGAATACATTCCCTAATCACTAATGGAGCAGCCCTGGCGTTTGTGAGAACAAAAGAGACTTTCATTGATGCAAACTCAGCAGTTTCAACACAACCCAACACCTGGAAATAAAAAAAGCCTTAATTCTCTGAATACTTTTCCTGGTAATTTAGAAAAGCAGTTGGTTGACCAGTTGGTGCTGAACTCTTCTTTTCCTGCTTTTATCCTTTTCATTTTCTATCAGTGCTTTTTAAAGTTTATGACTCGGAGGAAAACAGACATTTGGGTCAATTGATTTGAGGAAAATCTACAAAATATCAGATGCCATGAAACCTACGTTCAGGGATGTTCGAAAGAACCGGAAGATCAAATTGACTCTACAAAGTTTTTTAACTGCTGGTCATGTCATGAAGCTAGGAGAAGGCTGAGATTTTTGTAGGCGCTCTAACCATTGTGATAGCTCAGGTTGGAGCAAGATATTTGGAGGAGGAACTAAGCTCATAGTAACTCTCCCTGGTAAGTAACTTTTCTCTATTTTAACTTAATAGTGAAAAATTCATAGTTGCTTTTTAGAAAAAAAAAAAAAATTTAGGATTCCCCATTATCTGACTGCCACATTCTTGTCCTCAGCATGTGAACAGCAATTTTGCAGCTACTGGTCACTGTATATGGAAACAAAACTCTCTTGTAAATGGCTTATTCTTTTCCCTGCTCGTTAGCAGTTCAAATTCTACCTTTAGAAATTCAACTTTTTATCCAAAAAAGAATAGACTCAGGGTAGAAGTTAAAGTATTTTGAGGACCATGTCTGTAATCTGTTGCTATAAGTTATTGGTTCAAAATGCTTTTCTTATAGATGGGCTTTTTGTAAAATAGATTTTTAAAAAATTTTTATTTTTTCTTTGTGTCTTTATTTTTGGCTGTGTTGGGTCTTTGTAGCTGCATGTGGGCTTCCTCTAGTTGCAGCGAGCAGGGGCTACTCTGCGTTGTGGTGCACGGGCTACTCATTGAGGTGGCTTCTCTTGTTGCGGAGCACGGGTTCTAGGCACACAGTCTTCAGTAGTTGTGGCACGTGGGCTCAGTAACGGTGGCACACGGGCTCAGTAGCTCTGTGGTATGTGGGATCTTCCCGGGCCAGGGATCAAACTCGTGTCCCTTACATTGGCAGGCGGATTCTTAACCACTGTGCCACCAGGGAAACGCTACGGATGGTCTTTTAAACGAGAGACAATATTTACCTCTTCTCTATAGTTTGAGATGAACACATTGCTCCTTTCTCCCAATAACCTGAAAAAAATGACATTATTGGTTTTCATCTCATCCTTAACAGCAGTGCAGAAAAATTCTTATAGTAAATGACTATAGAACATCGATAAACCCCACTTCTTGTTACTCTAGCTTCTCAGAGATAGGCTGAGATCAGCTGAAATTCATGCAGTTACAACTCTTGTTACATTGCTTGGATATGGACCAGTTTCATACAGTATATAAAATCCATATACTTTGTTTACTGGAAGATTTTGATGAAATGGCCACAACCATCTCATTAAAGGTAATAATAATATCACCTACTGTTTACTGAGGACCAGACACCAAGATAAGTAGTTTCAGTGCCTTATCTCCTTCCTCAACAGGAATCCTCTTCTTCCCATTTCATAGATAAGGAAACTGAGGTTTAGAGAAGTTCAGTTACTTGCCTAAAGGCACGTGACTAGTTACTGTGGCAAAATTTGGGATCCAATAGCGACTTGTTGATTCCAAAGTGCAGGGTCTGGACCATTATGTGATGTTAAACGTCATGTTCTTATATTCTGAATATTTAATCTTTTGTATTCTGACCTTTAAAAAGGATTTTGTAATTGACTACCTAATTAGTAATAGTTCATAATTTGTATTAATACTCATGTGTGAAAATAATGCTCCTGCTTCTAATCATGGCACCAAAAAGACCTTGCTCCTCCCAGCAAAGATCATATAAGTCATACTAAATATCCAATTATTAAATACTCAAAATACGATTCTTAGAGTATCTTTATAGAATGGCAATTCATTCTGACACCATTTCACTCAATTTTCCTTCTGTATTGGCACCAAATTTGCTAAAAATATTGAATCTGGTAAAAGAAGTATAGCATTTATACTAAACTGCATAACTTAGAGCTGCTTTTCCAGACATGATGGGAGCGAAAAATACCAAATACACACTATGATATTTAAAATAGATAACCAACAAGGACCTACTCTGCTCAATATTCTGTAACAACCTAAATGGGAAAAGAATTTGAGAAAGAATAGATACATGTATATGTATAACTGAATCGCTTTACTGTACACCTGAAACTCACACAACATTGTTAATCAATTATGCTCCAATATTAAATAAAAATTTTTTAAACTAGTGCAGGAAAGGTGATACCAAATGCTTGAGAAATACCAAAGTGAATAGGATTCTCTGAGGAGCAGCGGAGGATTTTATTTCAATGCCCTTGAAACCATAAGGTTATTTTCAGGTAGAAAGGAGCAGTCTTTCAGCAATGAATAGCTTAAGAGGCCATCATTAAAAATTCACATTCTGCCGCAACTCATCTGGTTTACTGAATGAGGATTGGATTCTGGAAAGAAGTTACTTTAGAATTAACCCAGATACCTACCTCTCAATACATATATATCACAAAATAGCTATAAAAGGTAATGAATATACATTTATTAAATAATCAAATACATTATTCCTAGTTCAACTTTGGAAATTAAAGAAACATTAACTGTATACCCTAAGCATGAACTGATTTTATATGTGAAAACACTTTAAAGGAGGATATTTAGAAGATTTAGGCCAAATGGTGAGAAAAGATGGAATCATACTTTCCAGTGTATGTGAGGTGAGATGGGAACAGACATAACCCAAGCTGCCCAATAAGAGCAGATTCAATTTTTCAGTTCTTGACCACTTTCGTACCTAATGTGCTTTTGCTTGAGTTCCATCTTTGTTTATTGTTAGCAGGGCCATTATTTTATATATTTATACAAATATTGAAAAAATATGGGCACAATTTTAAAGCAGGCCGAGAGGGAGATTTCTACAAAGGCTTTTTAGATAGTGGGCTAACACATGGCAAGAGCGTCAAAGTGTTTGGTTCTGGAACACAGCTCATTGTTACAGGTAAATATTCTTTAAATTCTGCAGTATGGTAGGGGAGGGAGGCAAGCAATACAGGAACTGCACGCTGCAGTGCTGGTGTTGGCCCAGAATTCTTGGATTTGATCCCTGTTTGGTCACGAATCGGGGTGGGGTCTCTGGAGAGGTCGGTGACTCCATCCAGGTCCTTGGAGTCTGCCTGGTTCCTTCTCTGCCTGACCTAGTACAGAGGACATTGACAAGAGTTAGCCAGTTAGACCAAGTGTGAGTCCCTCAGTGGTGGATACATTAGGTTCATTGGGTCTTGGAAAATTTCAAAGACTCTTAGGTGGTTTTTTAATTTGATTCCAGAAATAACCGATGGAAAAATTGGACAAATATTGTTCAACTTGTCATTTAGTTAGAGAATGATTAGTATCAAGTAGCAAGATATTTAACTTTGCAACCATATTCAAGCATGTCTTAAGGTGGATTTTTTTTTTTTCTAAATTCAATCCAGTAAATTTATTCCCTCTTCATTTGCCTTAAAGGTGAAATTTTGCCTGGATGAGGGGGGAACATCTCTCAAGTATGTTCCTACCCTATGAGATCCACGGAAATGAAAGTTTTAAAAAATTTTCACAAAGTTGATAAAGCATTGAAAAAAATGAAAGAATTATATATTTTGATCTCTTTAGTGGTTGTGATCATATGAACAAATGAATTTGTAAATTGAAAAGCAACATTCGGTCCCCCTTTTTCAACTGACTATTCAATGTAAAGTATAGCAATCAAATTAAATAAAGGTGACCCAGATATAACTCATAAGTGTCCTGAAAAATGATTTTTAGTAGTGTGTAGTGCAGGGAAAAATATGGACTTTGATTCTAGATCTGTCACTTTCTGTCTGATGATCCTTTAGCAAATAAAATTTGCTTCACTGGTTAGTGCTTTAAAAAATTATGCAAATAATGCATGTCCATTGCGGGAAAAAATTGAAAAATACCAAAATAAAGAAAAATTAAAAATTTTTATAGACACATCACTGTTAACAGTTTGATATATTTCTACTCACTTATTCCATCTGTGCAACAACCATCTTGAGTAGATGTTGTGAGGATTAAACAAAATTAAAAATGAAAATTACCACCACAAATGTTGGGACATGGTCTACGATAAAAAGATCAATTCCTTCTCCAGAATTTAAATTGTTACTCATTTACTCATTGGAATTCTTTATGAAATCAGGAGTGCAGCTAAATGTATTAGTTACCATCTAGTCTTAGGTCATTTTAGAACAAATGGTCGGTACTTAAAAATTCTCTCAGTTTCTATGACCAATTGTTACCTGTTTCTAAAAGTGGTAAAATGTAATAAGCATTATCTCAAATATTATTAGCCTGAATATAAGGTGCTCTCTCATCTTGCAGTAGAAATATCTGGAAGTAAAAAAAGTGTTTTTTTTAATATTATTTTTTTTGCAACTTGAACATATAAGCTTATAGAGATATAGACAAAAGTCAAATATTCAATTGTAGTATTTAATCTCTTGTTTGGATTATACCTGAAAGTTAAAAATTATGTCAATACAAAACTAGTTGAGAAATATTGCTTTTTGCCCACACATTTCATTAAAAATTTTGTTCATACCCTAAACAGGCACCTAAAACATCTACCTTAGAGCAACTTTCTAAGTCATCTCAGGGTCTGTTTGTTTTGTGATCCCCATACGATGATGCCAGTGGGTATTTCATTCAAAGAAATAATTACCCACTTATAAAATAAAAGGAAAGCATTTGTAAAATTTATTCTGTTATTCTATACATGTGCAAGGTAAGCACAAACTGTGGAGACTTCAATCCCAAATAATTTTTACTAGGTAATATTAATACTCCCAAACCAGCTTTAACTGAGTTCCTTTCAGGTTGGTATCTTGTCCAGGTAGTACTTTTTGATCAGAGCAGAGTATTAGAAGAGTATCTTTTAATATGAATGGTTGCACAGGCACTGATACATAGGCAGCCCCTTGTTTTGTGAGGGATAATTTTGAGAAAGAAAGCCTCACCTTATGCTCTGGCACCCTCAGTCTGTTTGAAACCTGCATGTTTTGCTTCTATATCACAGAACTAGGATTAGTAAACATCTTTTACCATACCTCATATCATCCTGGAGTTAGATCTTACTAATTATGAACCCCTAGGGCAGAAAAACAAGCAACCTACAATGCACAAACTATTTGTCACTTATTTAAACTGCTTATTTGCAAAATCTATTTGAGAAGACCTAACAGAGCAAACATATATAGAGGCAGAGCATGAAATAAGAATAGAAGATCAGGACTTCCCTGGTGGCGCAGTGGTTGAGAGTCCGCCTGCCGATGCAGGGGACACGGGTTCGTGCCCCGGTCCGGGAAAATCCCACATGCCGCGGAGCGGCTGGGCCCGTGAGCCATGGCCGCCAAGCCTGCGCGTCCGGAGCCTGTGCTCCGCAACGGGAGAGGCCACAACAGAGGCCCGCGTAAAGCAAAAAAAAAAAGAATAGAAGATCAAAGGCACTAAGGGAAGCAAAAAGAAAAAGGCCTCTGATAATCTAGCAAGAAGCACAGGGTAAGATTTTATGCACAAAGGTAGGAGAGTTATGTGTCAGTTATATCTCAGTAAAAAGAAGTGAATAAAAAAAAGAAAAAAGAAGGTAGGGGAAAATGTAGTAGAATACATACCCTTTGTTAACTGATAAAATGAAGCACACCAAATTTTCAAATATGATATGTTTTCCCACCATAAAATTAGAAAAAGACTTCAATGCAGGAGTCTTGAAGGAGGAAAGTGATGTAAAGCATGGACATTGACTTCAATATCCATTCCATAAAATGGAAGAAATGGTCTTTAAGCCAACCCAGTTTATACTCCCAGTGCATCGATGATACGGCGCCATAACATTTAATGTCATTCAGATGGTGACCCTCAGCAGATAACGTCAGGCAGGTTTTCGTGATCCAAGGTGACAATAATAGGATTCGAGGACCAGGCATCCTGCCATTTCTCTAGTCATCCTGCCTTGAAGGTCCACTGCCAGGAGTTGCAGGCTGAACTCTGAACATGAGCTGGAGAGAAGTCAGATTGAGGCTGAAATTTCTGGTAAAACTTCAAATGCCAATAGATTATGCTGTTGATTGGGGAAAAGTCATTTGTTTTGGACAACATGAGTTAAGTAGTCCCATATACTGATTACATATATTTAACCAATGTTCCCTTTGATTTTCTTAACCATAGATATGCAGGGGATAAGACAAGATATATTGCCTATTAATCGGGTGTGTAAAAGACACATTTCCTATGATGAAGGCTTTGAAAATTCCAGATATATCAGAGCACAGCAAACCAGGGAATCAGTCTTCCTGCTTGATTGCCACAGATCCGATTGCAACCCCCAGATACTGAATTTCTAGCGGTGAGGGCATGATTTGGTCCCATGAGATTAAAATGTCATATTGGACCACACAATCATCACAAATTGCTGATAAAATGATAATGATAATAATAATTATTATAATCTCATTTCTGTAGCACTTTTAATCAAATTGCTTTTCAGATCTTGTTTTATTTTGGTCTCACTTCAGCACTGGTAGGGATGATGAATTGATTTACATTAACATCATTGTTTTCAAATAAATAAAGGCTTCAGTTTACCTGATTAGCTCAGACACAGAACTTGTTAAGAGCAAAAAGAACCAGGAACAGAACGCTGGTCTCTTGAATAGCAGGCTGTTATAGTTCCACTAGGATTTGAAGAAATCAGAGAAGCTAAATTAGTCTAAAGTTTTTGATATGGGTTCAATCACTGTGGAATTAATACATAAAAATTTTCGGCAATGGGACAAAACTTGTGGTCACAGGTAGGTATCAGAGGAATGCAATTTTTTTCAAGTTTTTGGAGGGAGGAAAGAAAAAGTTAGAGTAAGAATCTTTAGAAAAAACAGGGCTGTGATGGTATTTAAATGTAGAGACCTTAGAAGGAGTTTTAAACAAATCTGTATAGTAAAGACAGCACAGATAACACTGTGCACATACTGTGATAGGAATTAGCTTTGTGTCCATGTGGACTCATACAAAGTGCTCATACGTATGTAATTATTATGAAACTGTTTGACCCAAGGCTGAAGTTTGCTATTACAGGTAAGTTTTGTGAGTTGACTTATTACTTTTCTGATGGTGAAAGGGTGTTGTCAAGGAGCCTGGGCTTTGGCATCAGGCTGAGCTGGAGCTCCAGGTCCATCCCTTACTGCTTATGTGAACTTGGAGATGATTCTCTGGCCTCAGTTTCCTAATCCATAAATGGGATAACAGCATGTATCGAGCAGGGGCTGTGCTGGAATTGAATGAGACAGTGTGAATAAAGTACTTTACACATTGGCTAACTCATCATAGGTGCTGGATAGGTGTATCTACAACTTATTCCAAGAGAACTGTGTCCGGTATAGAGTTATTTGCAGCCTATAATATTAACAGAACAGATATTCTCCAGTGAATACAGTTGTACTTCTAACTGCTCAAATGAAAAGTTATCTTACTGTCCACTCGCACAAAAAGATTGAATTTAGACACACTTTTTTCTCTTTAGCAGACTTTTTCCTCACTTAGCAAGAAAAATGAGATTAAAATGTGTCTGTTTTTCATTTCTGTTGCTGTTCTATGTTTGTAAACATAGATTATGAACACTTTAGGCACACAGAACAAGAAAATAAATCTTAATACTTTATCTCAATTGCTATTATCTCAACACCAATATTTATTGCCTCTAAAATTTATAGCCAATAAGTTTGAGTTTCTTACTCATGTTTATAAGGAAAAAAATTGAATTCATACAGAAAATGGTCGAGATGTAAAGTCAATGAAATGTAGTTAGAAATGTCATAAATTTGAAATTCTTATTTAAATATAAATTAGTTGTAATTATTTATTTGATTAAAAATGTGACAAGACAAAATAGAACGTGTAAATCAAGATCAACAAAGTACATATACAGTTGGAGAAATTTTTAGTGTCATTATTATAATCAATCAAATATTATTTGCGCTAAAATTGAGATGTATAAAATTAAAATAAGCACAGTGTGAACTAACTATATTTATAGTATGAGTAAAAAATCAACATTGTTTGCTTACTGATTTAGTATAAAAATCAAGAACTTGGCTACAAAGGCAGAAATTCTCAAGAATATTTTTCCTTTTCTGCTCAACGGGGAAATCCAGTTCTTTTCTTAAGAAATTGCCCATTGAATTATTAAACTAAATCCAAACTAGCCAAAAGACAATATCAGTAAAGCATTAGTGTTTCAATTGAAGATCAAATTGGAAAGAGTTCTAACATTTATAATTTCAGTTGTCATATTAACAATAAATGTATAATCAAGAACATTCCAGCATTCAAGTGACATCCTTTGCAAACTGTGATGTTTTTGTACATATCTTGATGTTATGTCTGCAAGAAAACTCGGGAACCATAACTTTTAACATTACACTAATTATATATACTCTTTATTCAGCAGGCGTAAACACAGAAATATTTGAGCTTGAAAACAGTTCAGCAGCCCAACAGGGTAGACTCACATTTCGGGGGAGACAATAAATTAAGTCAAAATATGGTGACTTCTTAGTCATGCTTCAACTTCAAATGAAATTCCAAAATAAAATGTGTTCTTGATGAACATTTTGTAAGTGCATTACTTGGTAAGGTAAATATAAAAGCATTTCCAAAAATAATATATTTTAACAGAAATATTGGAAGTATTGCTGTTTTACTTCTAAACTCAAGGCAGTGCTTTGGAGGTGCAGCTTTAATATTGCCCTCCTCAAAAATCTAGAGTGGTTCAGATGTGACATTGAGAAGTTGTACAAAATTAGAAATCAACAAGGAGAACTTCACTTCAGAACTGAGCATGGGACCCACATTTGAAGCTCAAAGTTCAACTTGATAGATTGTCAGATACAGGTGGAGGTAGAGTCCCATTAATACAAGTAACTGTATATTGTTTTTAAAATGATAACCCCCTCCTGACATTTATTTATTTAGGAATTAAGATAAATATGGTGCATTCCAGAATCAGTTAAATGAAGAATGAGGTTCAACAGAGATGCAGAACATGAGAATGTATTAACCGGCCAAAGAGAGCGTGTTAACAAAACACAGGATAGGAAAGGGAAATAGCTTAGAAGTGACTAAAGATTTTTACCTGTCGAGAGACCATCAAAGTTACATGGTCTTCTCCCCCAGCCCTACCACCCACTCTCATCCCCCTTTAAACAGGCTCCACTATGATAGAACAAAAGAGATTTAAGAAGATAAATTTGTTCTTGAATGTTCCAAGCATTGATATGGGGCAGTTTTAAGTCATATTCCAACTTAGCAAGTGGAGAAGGAACCAAAGCCAAGGTGCGAGCCAGCCTCCGTTCCTGAACATCTGTGACTTTGGGCAGATTATATAACCTCTTGAACATCTCTTCCCATTGAAAATAAGAGCAATAAGTACCTAGACATCTACTGTGGATGAAAGGCCATGATGAGAACTAATTCAATGGAAGCTTTTCTTCCTTTCACTATAAGCTAGGTTGTTCCAAACCACACAATATTTATGTTTCTCTAATAATTCTTTTCAATTCCATTCCATTATCCCCTACAGATAGAAGCCTTGATGTAGACATGTCTCCCAAGCCCACTATATTTCTTCCTTCGATTGATGAAATAAACCTCCATGAGGCTGGAACACATCTTTGCCTTCTCGAGAATTTTTTCCCTGATGTCATTAAGGTCTATTGGAAAGAAAAGAATGGCAACAGAGTTCTGGAATCCCAGCAGGGAAATATCATCAAGACTAATGATACATACATGAAATTCAGCTGGCTGACCGTGACTAAAAGGTCAATGGATAATGAACACGTATGTATCGTCAAACACGAGAATAATAAAAGAGGAATTGATCAAGAGATTCTTTTCCCTTCAGTTAACAAAGGTATGTGATTATAAAGAAACATAACCTCCCATAATTCTTTTATTCAAAGAAAATACCCCACCTTGACGATCAAGCATTAATGAAAAACAAATATAAATTGTTAAATGTTGTTACATTTAATGGTAGCATAAATGTCCTGCTATTTCCCCACAAAATTAAAATTGTATTGGCTTTGAAGCATAAAAAAGAAAAAAATTTACTGAAGCTTTTTCAGCTCAGTTTTATCATCTGAAATATAAAGGTCACAATGATGTATTTTAGGGTTGCTGTATAGATTAAATGAAACAACGCATATCAAAGTACCTATCAATTTAGCACACAATAAATGCACAAAGAGAGATTCCATTTTTGATGACCTTACTTGATCAGGAAATAAGAACAATTACACATCTTACAAGAAGGTTCCACTCAGCAAGCAGAGTCCCTCTCACTTCACTCTTACTTTACTCAAAGTATAACCCAGAAATAATGAGTTATTAAATGACAAAATGGTGTTCGTATGAGGAAGCCAGATCACGGCTCAACAAAATGTAGAATAATTACTGTTGCATGTTTATTATGGTCTTAGGTTTTTGAGGTTTGTGTTTTACCTACCACTTAAGCTAAAATTTTGTAATTGAAGATTGGGTGAGCCTAAAGTGTACAGACTTACTCCCATTTTACATAATGAATGTATTTCTTGCCATGGGTAAATGCCTCTCAAGAAACTTTTCTTGCAGCCCTAGCACGTGCCAGGCCTGGAGGGATGTGTGGATGAACACTCTCGGGTGAATTACTGTCCCAGGAGGATGCACTACAGTAAAGAAAATATACACTTTTCCTAATCACTCAGGGTCTCTCATGATTCAGGCATGATGTCCCAAAGGAGTCCCTTTGATGCAGATGCTGTGTATATCCACACAGTGTGGGCAGAGGGCTGGCTGTACCTTGGCCCTGGCAGTGGTCCTGTAACTCACTGGACTCGGGACTTAATGACCTGAGTGTTCACCTAACAGACCAAAGGACCCAGAATGCCCATCAGAAGAAACCATTTTGTTATCAGTTCTTTTCTCTGTGGTTAGGAAAACTTTTTAAGCAGTGGCAACCAAGCATAAAACAAAACTGTGCAGAGATTTTGGTGTGTAGCAGTCTGAATTTCTGAAGCAAGTCTTTATCTTCTCGGATCGTGAGTTCATCCAATGATCAAATTACATTCGAGCACTTGCCTTGGCTTTGTCCTGGGGCTGCGATGAAGAGCAAATGAAATAACGTCAGTGAAAATGCTTGCTTTCCAAACCATAACACTGATGTATTTATTCATGCATTCATTGTATTTATTGATATGCTTTTCTCAAACTAACTAGAGTAAGACTACAAAAACAACCCTAATTTTCTATTTCTACAGCTGAGAAACAGAGGGGAAGCAAATACTCAAAGTGTAAGTTTAACATAACCTTGGGCTTTAAGGTCCTATTAGGTTTTGATTTTGCTAGTGATCAGGGAAAAACAAAATGATAAGTTCCATGGTGATGACGATCATAAAGGAGAGAAGTTCCAGTTCATAACGTGTTTTACTTGGCACTTAATTTCTGAAATAAATGTCTCCCATGGGCTTCTCAGTGCAACACAGCAAATGACGGCATTTCTGTCAATGTCATTCTACACTAAATTCCTAATGCTGTTTCATAGAAGTTTTTGTTGGTTGTTGTTTTTGCTGTCTTAATGAAAGATAAAAATATAAGATGGAAGCAATGAAGTGATCTTGAAGGCTCATAAAAGTAATCTGGTCCAAGTTCTTGATTGAGAAAGAGAACTTAGGATATTCACACAAATTTTATGATGAAAACTTTTTATGCTATTGTTTTTACCTCAATCAATGCATGGTGATAAGTGATTTTTATTTATCTTATAATAAATAAATTCGCTGAAAGGAAAAGAAAGAGGTTTTTAAGACATATTAAAGTCAGTTCTTAAGTATATTTTAACATCTAACATGAGTGTACTAACATTTAACTTCTTGGGATTTACCCCAAAGTCTACACAGGTTTACCCTCTACCTGAAAGTAGATTGTTCCTATGAAACCTTTCCTAAGATGAAAGGCATAAAGCGAAGAAGCAATCATCTTAAGACAGATCTTGCTAACAGATGCGCAAAGTAAATGAAGATAAGGCACAGATGCTCACAGATACAGTTCAGAGCTATGGCAGCTTGATGCTGAAATGCTGAGTGTAGTCCCTTGGCGATGCTGTTCTTGTTGCTGCAGTGCCTGCTGCCTCTATCATGGCTGTGGCTGCAAAACTAACACTAAATGCTATGTTTGCTTTTAACCTTTTCTCGTAAAAGTGAAAATCCTCTTCAGATTTCTTTCTGTTAGCAAAAACAGGTACTAATGTAGGTCTTTCATAAAAGAGAAGTGGCGTAAACTTTTGAAAAATAGGCGATACTTGTACCTTGAAGCCATTTTTTAAGGCAAACCAAATAAAGATCTCCCTGAACCATATCATAAACTAGAGCCATATCGTATGTACAAAAACACATCTAGGAGAAAAAGGATAAACCAAACAACCTCAGTGTCTCTGATTTCCTCCATCCAACAGTCTACTATTCTTTTTTAAGAAATTTTGTTTTTGTATGAATGTAGGAGGAAAAGGATAAACCAAACAACCTCAGTGTCTCTGATTTCCTCCATCCAACAGTCTATTATTTTTTTAAAGAAATTTTGTCTTTGTATGAATGTTTGCCTTTTTTTTTTTCATTGTAGATAAATACAACTTTCACCTCAGGTTTTCATATTAACTAGGAATATGATTTGGTCTATCTCTCTATCCTGGAAAGAATTGAACTGAAATGCTGAGCTCCTGTAATAAATATTTCATTTGTTAAGAATAATTAAGATCTCTGGAAAAGAAGATGTTTTCAGTGTCCACCATGGTGGAATTATGTTGTCTCTCTATAGATTAATTTCTCTATTTCTATGGATTATTTTTTACAAAGTACTTCCCACCTACTCTATCTCATTTAATCCCCCATGACCATCCTTTGAATGCACTCTGTCATCACTGATATGACTTATCCTCTAATCTTTATTCCTCTTTTGTACCGTGGAATACCCCCAAATACAACTCACTCCAGTGTCACTGGGGAGTTAAAGGAGATAATGCATACGAAGTATTTAAGCAAGTACCTGGCACAGTAATAATCACTCACTAGCTATTAGCCTCATTTATATTGTTATCCTGACGTCCACAAACTCCACAACTGCAGAAAATCACATACGTGAGTTGGGGATACTGGGGGTATGTGTGATCTGGAAAGGTTTCACTGCTTTTTTTTTTTTTTTTTTTTTTGATGGGAAATTTACCTAAGCCAGACTCCTTCAAACATGAGATTCTGTTGTAGATTCTGGGATTGGATACATCCATTTTGGGAGCATCCCTTCATGTCAGCAGTGGGTGCTGAAGGTGTAGAGCAGCCGCTTTTTCTGACGATTTGTCTTTTGACGGTATTTCCTGAACACTTTGGGGTGTAGGAGATGAGAACACAGAAGGAAACCAAGATGGTCTTAGATATTACCCTCAAGTTGTAATAAAGAAAAACAAAAATGTACCCTTCATGAACGTGAACATCCTCGGATACAGAAAACAGTATATGCACGAGATCTAATGAATTACATTGAAGCAGACCATCTATTCCCGGATTGTAGGCATCTTATTTTTAATGATTCTCTCCTCTCTCGGCAGATTCTATCAGTCTGTCTATCCAGAGACACACACACAGATGCACACTGTCAAATAATGGATATAAAAATTCACTAATACTTGCTCTTATTTCTTGTAGAGGTCACTACACATGCCTGCGTGAAAAAAAGTAGTGGTAAGTTTTTGTCTAGGTTTGCCTTTATGTCATGCTACAGCACATTTTTTTCCTTTGGATAAATTTAACTTTTGAACTTCCTTGGTTTAAGGTAGAAAAACCAGAATGTCTGGATGCTGCAGGAATAGACTGAGTGATATTTTAATTAAATCTGTCATTTCCTAGGAGTCACCTTAACACAGTAAATGCTGGTTTTGGTGTGACGTGACTCTAAATTAGGGGGTGCAGTGATAGGTTCCGAATTATTTCAACAGTGGATTTCCTCCACTTGTGTGACTTGTGTTTCTAATGACTAGGGAAATGTGATATCAAGTTGTTTGTTTTAGCCCTTGCTAGTAGCTAATACATGAACTGACACTTACTGAGAGCTTCATATACACAAGGTGTTGTGCTGTGTCTTGCCTACATATTCTGTTTACTGCTTATAATACTCCTAGGAGGTGATACAATATCCTCACTTTACAGATGAGGGCAATGAGCTACAATTAATTAAGTCCCTTGTACAAAGCCACACAGCTCTATCTGGCGATTCAACCCAACCCATCTGAATCAATGGTTCATGTGCTTACTCAGTTCTCTATCCCTCCTCTAAGATATAAATATAGAGCAAGAATCCCAAAGTCAAAGCCCTGAGACAGAGTGGGCAGGGGTGTAAGAGCCTGGGCTTCCGCTATCACAGACTGGACTTTAACCCCAGTTCTTTCATTACTAGTTGCATGAATATGGGTAAATTCCTTACATTTTCTGAGCAATACAGTCATCATCCGCCAATAGGGAACAATCACACCCTACTCAGTTATTGCAGACATAAGGTCACATATGTGGAATATCTCCCATAGGGTATCCATTTAGCTGGCACAGAATCAGTACTAGTTGGTGGCCCTTTCTCCCTACATGAAGGTTCTAAGTGAATTTAGAAGCACTGGCTCTGGCCCCGCTGATCCTTCTTTCGTTCCCCGTATCAGGGGGCCTGGAACTCAGCTAACACCAGAGCTGACTGAGGGCAGTGAGTTCTGAGCACATCACCTCCTGTGATCCCTTTCCACACCAAGTGCTGGTGATTCTGGAATTCTGACTCTATGAAGATGAAGCGTGGAAAAGGGAAATTTCCTCAGGAACGGACTCAGCCTTGTGGTCCATTCAGTAGCCAAGTCAGGCCCGTCATCACTGCTGTTAATTATTTCTTGACATCATATATGTCTTTGAAAACTTGATAGGAGAGGAAGTGCCATTACCTAATAACATCCTAGCCACAGTGAGAGATGTTAAAGAAAATACTGGTGACTGAGGCATGAGATCCTAAAGTTTCAGAGAATTTGGATTAAAAAGTTTATTCCACTTTGCGCAATGTTCTCTTTACTAAGCCCCCAATCACCCCACTGTGAACACCAGCAGATTTCCCTGATCTGTACCCCTCATAGGAATCTCATTGATGCTTCTAACTGCGATGCGTTCCCCCATCACTGTGTTTTATCCTCTCAAAAGAACAGGTAAACTAACCAAGATGTCTTCTCCTAGATTCCCTGCAGCTGCAGCTCATGAACACCTGTGCCTGCTACACCTACCTCCTTCTGCTCCTCAAGAGCTTGGTCTACTTTGTCATCATCGCCTTCTGCGTGTGTAGAACAGCCGTCTGCGGCCATGGGAAGAGCTCGTGACAGAGGGCACCACAAAGGGGTCACCTTTCCTTTATCATCTCTTGTCTCTGAAAGTGTCTGCTGAGGATCTAGTTGGGCTTCCTTTCTGGGTTTGGGTTATTTCAGTTCACATGTGTATTCTTCTATGTGCCATTATTGTGTAAGGGCTTTTCAAACCACTGGGCAAGCAGACAGTTTGACTCCGTAACAGGGAATTCTGCCATTACTCGGGGGCAGGGCCCAGGGCTGGCCCAGGGGAGCCTCTCCCCCCACTGTCCCCACAACCTCATCAGGTCCTCCTGCCCCCGAGTCCTCGTGCCTCCTGAGGGCACAGCGGGCAGCTCCTCTCTCCTCCCTCAGTGCCTCCACCCAGACCACGGCCCCGACCCTCCCTGCCACCCACCCTGGGGCCACCAGCTTTGCCACTTGAATCCTGTCCTTTGATTTTCATAAGAGACATGAAAAATAAAAAAAGAAATCAAAAGTCCACTTCTGTCTGTGTATTTTAATTTCATGAAATCTAACCAAGGTAAGAAACAGCATGACAAACGAGCTGTCAAATCCAGCGCTGGTCGTAATAATGGTCACACCGCATTTCTGAGTCTTTCCCTGAGGTGCCGATTATAGTCCTTTCTTTGGGGCACTGGCTCCAACGGCACCTACTGCCAAACGAAGGTGCCCGGGTTCCTGCACTTTCAAAGGTCACTGGATTCAGACTCATTGGTTTGGGACGTTCCTGTGATGACAGTATAACAGCCAGCGTGACCTGCACTGTGTGTGCTCACACACAGTGTGCTCACTGTGTGTGACCTGCACTGTCTGTACTAGCGTCTCACAGGCACTGACTCCTGATCCTCACATTAACCCCATGAGAACTGCACCGACACCAGAGGGGCACTGGGAGGAGGGTGAAGCACACAGACTCTGACCCCAGAGGGCCTGAGTTTGAACCCTGGGTCTTTTTTTTTTTTTTTTTAATAAATAAGAGAGGCTGTTATAAATATAATTAAAGAATAAGAACAAGAGCAAGAGACTATCAAAATGATCAGATAAAATTTTCAACTAAACTCAACTGAAAAATACAGTAAAATGGAAACTTAATTGTTAAACAAGTCATGCACTGTAGAAAAAATTTATAAGCTAGAATCTAAAAATGAATAAATTACATGCACACACAGTTATATATATATATCTCACATATAACATATAGAAAAAATATAAATATGTATATCTATATGATTAGAAAAAAAGGAGTAAAGAAAGAAAATATCTGACATACTTACAAATGGACTTCTGGAAGAAAAGAACACGAAGAATGGAGGAAAGACAATATTTAAAGAGATAATGGCTAAGTATTTTCCAGAATTGTTGTATGGCATGAATCCTCAGTTTCAGGAAGTCTAATCAATTTCAAACAGGATAAATAAAAAGCAAGATATACTTAGCCAAGTTGCTGTAAAACTGTAGGACCAAAGACAAAAACATTCTTTTAAAAGCAGCCAGAGAAAAAAGAGAAATTGCTTACAAATGGCAAAAATAAGATTAAAACCTGACCTCTTGACAGCAGCAGTATAAAACAGAAGATAATTAAACAATAGCTTCAACTTTCTGTGAGAGAACCGCTGTCAACTTAAAATTCATTATCCTCTAAGCCTACCTCTCCAGGACAAAGGAAAATATATTAACTTACAGATTAAGGAATTTCTAAGATAAGTATTTCAAAAAAAAAAAAGAAAGAAAAAGTGATCTCAAATGGAGGCATCTGAGATGCAAGAAATTATAAGCCAAAAATATGGCATGCATGTTAATCTAAATAAACAATTACTATATAAAGGAAAATAATATTACAATCAAGAGAGAAATGATCTGTTCTAAGGCTTTGCTTTTATATTGATTTAACTTTACATTGTGTTGAGTTAAATTCCCTTATTGAAGCTCTTTAGGGCAACCACTAAAGAGGAAAAGCAAGAGAGGAAAAAAATAGAATGGGGAAAATTAATAATAAAAAAGGTAAGAAAACAGAGGGGAAAGACAAAACATAAATCACAAAATAACCTAGTAGTAATGAATCCAAATAACTCTGTAAGCATTTCAAAAATAATAGATTATATAAAAAACAGAATCCAACAATATATTGCTTGTATATGACACAATCAAAATGGAAAGGCATTTGGGTGGAAAAAGATCTACTAGGCAGGGCTTCCCTGGTGGCGCAGTGGTTGGGAGTCCGCCTGCCGGTGCAGGGGCTGCGGGTTCGCGCCCCGGTCCGGGAGGCATGCATGCCGCGGAGCGGCTGGGCCCATGGGCCGTGGCCACTGGGCCTGCGCGTCCAGAGCCTGTGCTCCGCAGCGGGAGGGGCCACAGCGGTGAGAAGCCCGCGTGCCGCCAAAAAAAAAAAAAAAAAAAAAAATTTACTAGGCAAATACTAAGCAAAATCAGCTGGGCAAGTATTATAACAGAAGAAAAGTAAATAAATGACATAAAAGTTGGAAAGGAAGAACCAAATCTATCACTATTCACTATCCATAGATCATGTGACTGTTCACAGGAAATTCCAAAATAAACAATAGGAAATGATTAGAATTAATAAGAACATAACAAAGATGTTGGATATCAAATCGATATATAGAAGTAATTTGCATTTACACGTATTTGCAGAAAATAGAAAATGAAATTCAAAAAGGTGACATAGTAATTCTTTATATCTAACTAGCATCTATATATGTATCTATCTATCTATCATCTCTCTATCTACCTAAGTCTTTCACTTATCTACAAAATCTAGAATTAAGTCTAAATTTAATGTGGAACCTTATATAAAATTTTAGTGAAAGACATTAAAGAAGAATGAAATAAGTAAAGAAATACCATGTTTTGGGAAGGGCATATTTAATGTTTTTAAGATGTCAGATCTCTCCAAAATTATCTGCAGATCCTGTACACGTCCAGTGAAAACACAAAACGTATTTTGTGGAATTTTACAAGCTGTTTCTAAATTTTATATGGAAGAGAAAGGGGCCAAAAATAGCCAAGAGAGTCCTGAAGAATATAAATAAGGTATGGGTGGGGTGGTGAATGGCCCTTCAATGTATCAAGATTTATTATAACATAATTTAGACAGAGTGGTATGGTACAAGGATAAACAGGGAGAAAAAGGTGAAGAGAACGGGGATCAATTCATATAAAGTCCTATACAAAACAGGGATGGCAATGGAGGAAATCAGTGGGGAAAGGATCAATCATTCGCTGAATGCTGCTGAGGCGATTGGTTATCCATAAGGAAAACAAAATGAAATCGTATCCTTACCTCACACCATGCAACAACTTTCTTGTTTTATGCCTCCTGATGCTTCTGAGGGGCTTTCTCCTGTCACAATACTGGGGCAACAGGACAGGGGCTTTCTCTAGTGATTCATGGTGGAAAAGCCCTAAAGAGAGAAACTTCTAAAAGCTACCAATGGGTAGCAAGCTGATTCAGCTCTTCAGCAATTCAGCAGTAGGTTGTCACATAAAGAACATATACAAATTTAATTCCCTGCTGATTCTAACTAACATTTTGGAATCCTAGTCACTTCTAAGTACATTTCCTTTCCTTTAAGAAAAGGTTAAGTGCTAATGTGGTTGCTGGTTTGCCAAGAGAAATCTGGCAACTCTTACAAGTACAGATGTAGAGTGTAATTAAATTCTTAATGTAGAGCCATACAATTCATTGCTTTGAAAATAATACTTAACTACAAAGCCATCCTACATTCTTTTAGTAATAAGTATTGACTGGAGTTGGAGGAGGAATTTTTTTTCTGACCTGGTTGATGAATTCAAGTGACAGAGCCCTGGGTCTTCATTAGTACATTTCTGTGTGATCTCAGGCAGCGATCTGAACTCTGTGCTGTCATTTCCTCATGTGTGTAATGAAGTTACAGCACCCTGTCTCCTGGAGCGTGAGGATTAGATGAGTTAATAATGTTTGGTCCATGCACATCCTTGACAACATTAGCATCTACTGTCGGTAGCTCTACTGTAAAAACAGTAGATTCCACACATACACACGCAGACACACCGAGGATCATCTCTAACCTCATTTCCCTGCAGACAGGGTGGGTGTGGATGGATCAGGGACTCGGTTTTAACAATTCCCCAGGAATCCCGTTCATCGTCTAAGAGCCCTTGGGGGAGGGTGCAGTTATAGCCACAGCTTACAGATCGGAGAGATTAAGTATTCTGCTCCTGGTCACTATTTTGCAAGTAATAGTCAGTTACAGCCAGGGCTCTCTGAACTCAGAGCTCATATTTTGTTTCCTAGGATCTTATGGCTTGTCCTTGGCTCACTGTCTACTGGGAAAAACAAAAACAGAACAAGCCACAGCAAAATGAAACACGCACTGCTTCGTGACTAAAGACATCCTTCAAGGAGTCGGTGAGAACTTTCTCAAGGACTTGTGGGTGCACCTGTCTTCTCCTCATGTACAAACTCTGGAATCACGATAGCTGTTCCCTTTATTGTCCACATCATGGAAATCCTGCCTTACTCTGTGAGTGTGTCTAGATTTGTAACTGCTCTTTTGGGGGGTGTAATGAATTGGACTGAGATTCTCAGGCAGAGCAGGACACTGGATGGTGCTCTGAGCATCCTGACACCACAGCTCCTCCCCTAGACTCAACGGGCCCTGAGGTCCTCAGAATCTCCCTGTGGAAGCCTCTTATATGTCCAGGAGCATTTCTAAGGTGGGAGGAAGGCATACATCGTTTTGGTCCAGTCCTTTTCCACTACAGCGTGGCTGCAATGTGGTATTGGGGGAGGAACCCTGGACCAGAGGTTCTACCTCACATCCCATCGTTAGAGCCTCCACTTCCTGGTCTGTCATAACCAGCTGTGTCATTTCTCCTTGACCATGTCACGTTGCCTAAGTTTACCCATCTTTAGAAGAAGGTGTTCAAATTGAGTCACTTCAGATTTCTATGGCAATGTACAAATTCAATGATTAATAACCCAATGAAGTAATAATAGCAAAGGCTTTCTGGTA